TGTCACTGTCCCCTCTATGGAACTTTTCTCATCTTCTGCTCTCCCTGCCCTCCTCCTCCCTCCTTAATGAAGCCAGGAGACAATTTGCTTTGTCTGATCGGATGCAGACGACATTCCATAGGTTACAGAGCCGGAAAAGCGGCAGTGTCTGACCGACTGATCTCATTTCAGATATGCTAATTGGGGGCTTCCTTGCTCCTTATTTGTCTCGGGAGGCCAGTTGACCTTCAGCTTTGAACTCTCATCCCTTTTCCTTCCAGGGAGTCTCCTAGACCAAGGACGACTGTGACAGTGAGGGTACGTTCACACCATATGCAGTGCGTTCCGGTCCGATTCTGGCCGGAGCGCACTGCATGGAATTGCGGCCGGCTCACTTTTTTGTAGGGCAGGAGGGGGCGTGGCGGGCCATTGAAGTGATTGGCACCGTAGCCACGCCTTCCGGACGCAATGCGATCGCCTGTTCGGGATCGCAAGGCACATTGTGCCTGCGGTCCGGTGCCATCAAAATAGTGCCTTGCGATGCCCGTGAGGGTGATCGCATTGCAGTCGGAGGGCGTGGATAAGGTACCATTCAATTCAATGGCCCCTCACGCCCCCTCCTGCCCCACTAAAAAGTGAGCCTGCCGCAATGCGAGGCAGTGCGTTCTGACCAGAATCGGACCGGAACGCACTGCAACTGGTGTGAACGGGCCCTAAAAGCAAAACTCTAGGCAAAAATAAACAAATGATACATGAACACCTTCAATGCAGAGATTTCCATGCAGTACTTTTTTCTGCCTGTAGATGTCCTTGGTCAGCATCATTTAACTCGCTTCCTCTGGACCCGCCCCCAGCCTGTGACTGGACAGTGATTGAAGAAGCAGCAAGGTGATGAGGTCATCTCTTTGTCACTCTACTCTCTTCTCCTATCAGCATGCTTCTTGTCAGCACATGAACTGATTGGCTGCTTATGCCAGCAAGGAGACAGCTTCCCGGCCAATCAGGAAACCGGGCGGCAGGTAATGACCCCGAGACCGCTGCTGGGTGCTGCCATCTTAGATGTAATAGCAGCAGACCCAGAGCTATCACTCTGTAGTATTCCTCTTCGCTCCTTCCCCGGCTGCTATGTAACAGTTTATGTAGGGAGGTGAGGGGCAGATGAGCTGGGCCAGCACAGACCCTAATTAGATACTCCCAGAAGAAGAGAGGTCTATAGTGTGCAAGGAGGGAGGGGGCTGCTCTAAGGAATTGACTCTTCCTGGAGTAGTCAATCTTTTTTAGCATGTTAAAAACACATTGCGAATGAGGGAAAAAAAAATTATGGAAAAGGAAAAAAATAGCTTTTAAAATACTTGATTTTTTGTGCTTTTACCTGCAAGTTGGTGACAGGTTCTCTTATACTAGTTTTACCCAATCTTCTGCTTTCTAATGCAGGAAAGGTGGACGCTAAGCAGAGGCTGGTTGTTTTGTGTAGGTCAGGCACCATGCATTATGTTCTATGTGACACTGGTATTTATGGAGCTGCAGGTGGAGGTGACTGAAGACTTTTGTTGGGAACGTTCTGCATGAAATAGATTTTTTTTATTCCTCAATAATCGGGAGGCTGAGTCATTGTCCCATCACTCATCGGACGCCGTTCTGCAGAGCACATATATCCGTCTTCCCATTGTGCGCCGCACAGATACCGGAATCCGGGATAATGCTCCGTACATGTCGCTCTTTGTAATGTCTGCCGCTGAGATGTGACGAGGACAAGGTCAGGCTTGTTCTCGGCGATAGTCAATAGTGCTGCACTTAAGTTGACTTAACAGAATTCAGAAAAAAAAAAGATACTGCGTTGCAATATCGGTACATTTAAAGCTGAACTCCAGAGTAAATACACATATGAAAGCTGTTCTAACCTGCCAAAAGGATCTGTATGTCTGTCCATCCAGTCCTGACATGTACACAGCTCTGCCCGACTGTGCTCTTGGGCTGCTGATCTGATTCTGCAGTTAAAGCCTTCCCTTCAGTCTTGCACACTTGTACGGGCTGCTGTCCCTTACTGAAATTGCTGATGTCACTGCACACTGTGAGCTACTTACAATGATCTGATGTGGATCTCAGTTCTCAGAATTCCCCATCACACCATTGGCTAAAGCTTTCCTTAAAGGAGAACTATGGGGTTAGGGCTTTTCCCCATAGTTCTCCTTAGGGTAAGGGGAGGACACAAACTAGCGTCCTCCCGTCACCCTAGGCTCAGTATACTGCGAGCTGTAGCTCCCTATATACTGAGACGCCGCAGCTGAAGCGGATTCCGACAATGATGTCTGGATCCGCCCAGCTGCGTGACTGACAGCTGGCTCTGCCTATCTAGAGGCAGAGCCAGCTGTACCCGCCCCCTCCCCCGTCCATTCCGCCAGTCAGTGCTGGCGGATCGGAGGGTGGAATCCAGCCCCTCCCATGTCAAGGCATAGAGCCGTGACAGGATCGAGAGGTGAGCGAACGCCGGTATGTGTTCGCTCACCTCCCGATCTACTGCGCCGACCTGTGACAGTCTCATTTTCACAGGTCGGCTAGAACTATGAGGTGAGTGAAAAGCACTCCCCTCATAGTTCTCCTTTAACAGCCAGTGATGCCCACCATCAGTGACTGCTATTGGCTATGGCACCCATCCACTGCCTACTGTCAATCTGCAGCAGAATGGACCAGATGTGCAACACAGTTCTCAGAATTCCTCGTCGGGCTCTGTCCACTGTTGGCGTCACTGGTCATTACGGGCGCTGTTGGCTAAAACATTACTTAAAACCAGTGATACCAAAGGTCAGTGACTGCTATTGTCTATGGTACCCGCCCACTGCCTACTGTCAATCCGCAGCAGAACCGACCTGATGTGGAACTCGGTTCTCAGAATTACCCATCAGGATATGTCCGCTGTTAGCGTCACTGGTCATTAAGGACTGTTGGCTAAAGCCTTCCTTAACAACCAGTGATGCCCACGGTCAGTGACTGCTATTGGCTATGGCACCCGCCCACTGCCTACTGTCAATCCGCAGCAGAACAGACCTGATGGGGAACTCTGGGGGGAGCTATGCAAATATAATGCCTTGATGGTTGGATGTTAGTCTGGAGGAGTTGTTCCTATGCAGGCTGCATTTGAATGAAGACCACCCGAGGTAACTTCCACATGAGCGTCTATGATTGGACGAACTGAAAACCAATGAATGAAAGGGGTGGGTCAGGGACACTCAGTCTCGGGAGGAAACGGCTAGGCCAGCTTCTCTCATCCAGGTTTCCCCCTGAGGTTGCCAGTGATAAATGGATCTGTGACTTACACGGACCACCAGTGCAAGGGGGCAATGACCAGCAACAAAAGGGGTCACTTCTGCTTTGACCGCCAATGTTCAGTGAGACCACAATTTTCACCATATGTGTTTATTTTCTGTTATTATAATTCAGTTCAAGATCATAGAAGTAAGTTCACCTATACTGCCAGTAGGTATTAAAACATGATCTGCCCTGGGTGTCAGATACTGTCGGTACATCACATTCTTTGATATAAAACTTTCCACAACTTCCTGATCACACTGATGTTCTGTGAGCTGTGGGGAGAATCATTCTTAACACGGGACAAAACCTGAAAACTATTTCAAGGGTTCCTCTGAGGCTG